AGAAAGAAAGAAAGAAAGAAAGAAAGAAAGAAAGAAAGAAAGAAAGAGAAAAAGGAAAAAGAGAAAAGAAAGGAAAAGAGAAAAGAAGGAAAGGGAAGGAAACTTTCAGGGAACTCTTCTGTTATAGTTTAAATGAAAGAATGATCATCACTGTCTTCAGTCTCTCGAGATCCAGTCCTGCACAACTAGAATCAGATACAGAAGATATTTCCAAGGAGTTGAATTTTTCACTCCTGCTGAGAGAAATGAACCTTTCGATTTATCAAGTTACTTTTTGGCAACTTAGAGCCTCTCTGTAAATTCATCTTAGCATTGACACTTTTCAGTTATTGCATGACTTCAGAATTTGAATTAAACACAGATTTTAGATATTTTCCTTTTCTTCGTTTAAATCTGTTATTGGTGGCACACATGTTCTTCGCTTTGGAGTATTGCCAAATCCCACCTCTCCAACTTCTTTCCTCTCCTCTCCGTCTTTTTCTTTTCTTTCTTTTTTTTTAATACAAATTTTAAAAAAAATGTTAGTGATTCCCCCCTTACCTAACTCCTGTAGATACTTTTAATAAAAATTTCCTTTACCCATTCTCCAAGTTTGCTAAAATTTCAGCTGTGAGTGGACTGGTTGGCCAAGGATTGGAACTGACCCTTAGCACTGTTTTTCACACACTGACACTTTCCATTTTACTTCATTTTAATGGACGGGTGTTGCCTCACTTGGTTTGGGCATGGACAGACATGGACTCCTTAGCTACATTTGTCTTCCAAGGTGCACAATAAGTTGATGCACAAAAGTTATTGAAACGTGGAAACTGCCATTGGGTTTTACTCTATAAGCAAGCGATTCCTTGCCCAGACCTTTTTATATCGTATCCCTTATTTGGGGCTGGGTATAACCTCAGCGAAAAAACTAACGAAGATGAAAATATTTTTTTTCTCTCTAGTCTGTTAAGTTACACGGAACAGTATGTAGAATATGACCCATTTCTTGTGCCACCTGACCCTTCTAACCCATGGCTGTCTGATGATACTACTTTCTGGGAACTTGAAGCAAGGTATGTGACATGTTCTTTTCTCTCCAATTATTTCACTTATTTCAGGTTTTGGGTAAAATAGGAAGAATCCCATAACTGATCATGGTAAGGCTAATTTTACTCTGTGTCTCTATTAGCCCGTGATATAAAGTTTTTGTTCAAGGTAATGGTTTTTAAACCTTAAATACTTGCATTTGTGTTCAGATGCACATTGCCAGAGGACTGGCACAAAATTAGAGGTACAGGAGTTTCAGGATAGATTATTCAGAGTTGGGATCTTCAGTTCTTGAAATTTAGCTCATGGTTTTTGCTTCTTTGAAACTCCGCATAGCCACACAGGCCCCTGTATTCAAGCAAAATGATTGTTAAATCCATACTTATTTAAGCACAATACAGGTATGGCTCTATCCATTCAATTTTAAAACAAAATGAACTTGCCATTAACACCCTAAGAGAATCTGACAAGATACTGACGTCTTAAGAAAACCAAAGCACAATTTAAGATTCCCTGGTTTCCTTCATGACCTGTATAAGGGAAGACTTATATCATCAATCTTGACAGAGTCATGAGGAGAGCAGTGCCTATCACTATACACAGTGAGGATTTCATATCCTATGGCCTTTCTCTAGACTGTGTTTATGGACTTTTTCTTTCTTTTACCTCCAGACAGTGTTCTTAAATGCTTGACAAGTGCAGGCTCTTCGTCCCTAAGGTCTAGATTTTATACATGAGGAATTGGGGCCCCAGAATGTTGTGATTCAGCCAGGGTTAGGTCACACATTTCATCAACAACAAACTCATAACTAGAATTTAGGCCTTTTGGTTCCCAATGCATTTTCCTCCAGTACAACATACCACCATGAGACTCCACACTATATGCTGGTTAAGAAATTGTGCTTTGAGGTGAGAATGTCTAGAATATTGCCCCTTATTACGTGTCATACATTGGCAAGTTAAAACCCTCTTTGTGCCTTGATTTCTTCATCTATAAAATAAGAATTATAATAGTACCTGTCTCAAAAGTTGCAGAAAAGAATCTAAAAGAATCCCTCTAGAGCACTTAGTGCCTAGGCTTAATAAAGATTAGACTGTTGTTAATGCCTAATGTATACTTCACTATGATTTCATGCACAGCCATCGATCACAGATTTTTTTTCCTGAAAGATATGTTAAAGATGGGAACCTCAAGATATATATGATTTTGAGGGGATATGGAATAGCAGAAGACAGAATTGGCATGAAAGGAGTATATTTTTCCTCATTTTATCTCCTATAGCAAAGAACCAAGTCAGCAGAGGGTAAAACGATGGGGTTTTGGCATGGATGAAGCACTGAAAGACCCAGTTGGGAGAGAACAGTTTCTTAAATTTCTAGAGTCAGAATTCAGCTCAGAAAATTTAAGGTAAGACACATTGTTTGTATCCTATTCTATGTCAGAGAGACTTACTGTGATATGGCTGGTTATTTTGCACCAAATAGATCAGTTACCCTCGTACCAACATGATGACAAGATGAACGCATTGAATTTCTGCCTCCTGATGGACGGAAGAGGGTAACAAAGGAAAGCCTATCCAGAATTATTAGTTCCTTATAATGGTTTATTTTTACATTATCTCTTCATCTATTAAGTATATAAGTGTGATGCATTTTAAATGGACTCCATAAAGAAGTATAATACCTGAACTAATGTTTGGCAAAGTGAAGAATGGCCAATAATATTTATGAAGTTAAGTTATCATTATTTATCAGTATTGGTCTTCTTAAAGTAAGGTCTGGGTGCCTATTAAAAATAACTTGAAACAACACTGTGGGGCAGTTCATGCACTTGGCACATTTAAATATAGCTTCAGGACAGTTGAGGGCCGCACCACACTGAGCTGTTAGTAGGAGAGGGGTGTGCATTCCACGCATCTGTTGTATGCATCATCCTTACATATTTTTGAATTTTTTCAAACTTAAGAGGCACCTGGAAATTGAATTTTTCAATGTGAGACACTGCAATAGAGTTTAATGGCTCTTTTTAAGATCACCAAAGTGAGTGAGAACTTTCCACTGCATAAAAATGTTTTTCCATGAGCTCTTTAATTCATTATTCTTTTGAAAATGATACCCTAATTTACTTTCCCATGACTTATGTGGTCCTGTGGAACTCATTTATGGTAAGGTCCCAGCATTCATTTATTTTCATTGGATCTCTGCAGCTCCAGGCATTGTCACATTCTTTACAGATGATTTAACAGATACCAATACCAAACCATTCAGAAGCATGTAGAACTTTGAGAGATGTCCTATGGTTGAAGCAAGATGATCACAGTTGGAACCTGGAATAATTTTATTATATATGCATGTCTGTCATGAATTGTTGGGATGCAGCCTTCTATTCATTCAAGTTTGTGCAAACCCATCTTGGGAAGGCTTTTAGAAGATCTACACTGCTAAGGATTTTTTTTTTTATCAAGGTCACATCATCAATTATTGAGTAAAGGAATGCATAAAAAAATATAGCAGAGATAAAAGATATTTTTAGCCTTTTAGCAGATGGGAAGATGGAGTTTCCTCTAGTTCTTTAAGTTTTTAAATAAATGCCAACATCAGGGGTATCATGATGAAAAAATAAACAAGAAATGGGGCACCTGGGTTGCTCAGTCAGTTAAAGGTCCAGCTCTTGGTTTTGGCTCAGGTCATGATCTACAGTTTGTGAGATCAAGCCCTGCATTGGGCTTCACGCTCACAGTTTGGAGCCTGCTTGAGATTCTATCTCTCTCCCTCTCTCTCTCTGCCCCTCCCCTGCTCGTGCTCTCTCCCTCTCTCAAAATAAGTAAAAATAAACTTAAGAAATAAACAAGTAATAAGCCTGGCCAGTATCACCTAACCAAATAAAAATGGTTCCTGATCTCATTAAAACTACAGCCTAGTGGTGGATACAGAGAACAAAGATCACAACACAAAATCGTGGTTATTTAGATCTGAGAAGTACAGAGGGATAGCTAACCTAGAGTTGGAGGTTAGCAAAGGCATCCTAGGGGAAATAGCTTTAGGCTGTGGTTTGGATGTCAAGATATAACCAGCCAAAACGTAAGAAGAAAGAAGCTCTGGGCAAAGGAAATAGTGGCAACTGTGTTTGTTTCATGAATGAATTGAATCACTGCTGATTCCTTAGTTCAAGCCTTAACCATTTCTTATGTCAATAATTTTATGCCGTACTAGTTTTCTTTTTTTAAAATTTTTTAATGTTTATTTTTGAGAGAGAGAGAAAGAAAGGGGGGGGAGGGGCAGGGAGAGGGAGAGACACAGAATCCGAAGCAGGCTCCAAGACTCTGGGCTGTTAGCACACAGCCTGACGCAGGACTTGAACTCAGAAACTGAGAGATCATGACCTTAGCTGAAGTTGGACACTCAACCGACTGAGCCACCCAGGCACCCCTACCATGCTAGTTTTCCATCTAAGTCATTTCATTTAAGAAATATGACATATTTAATATATTTTATGTTCTAATCATATCCATACTGTTATAAGTATGCCATGGTATATTTAGGGTTCACTCTTTCTGATTATCAAACATCTAATCACCACAACAAAAATGAAATTTAAACATTCGTGCCCCATTTTCCGATAAGCAAAATATGTCTGAGGGAGGCTAAGCATCTTGTCTGAGTCAGATGGGCTAGTAATTGGAATCCTAGGCTTTCTAAAAGCCAATAGAGGCTATACTCCACTGCTCCCCAAACCTGAGCCCACTGTTTCTGGTATCACACACTGAGGAAGAAAGAATAGTCCAGTTGTCCAGGAGGGCTAATTGAGCTTAAGTTAGTCTCAGTTTGTCTTATCAAGCAGCTGCCTGTAAGTACCTGCTCTTTACAGAAGCATGACACTCCTATGTTCTTCCAGAATTAAGACAGGAAAAAAAAAAAAGTCAAGAAATACTGTTTATTGATAACTTATTCCTTAAATATAACCTCTGCTGTCCATTGGTGTGTTTTTACTCATTCCCTTTTCAGGTAAAACATGCAGCATAGTGGAAGTACTAAGGAAATATAGTAATATGAGTTTTATTGTTGAGTGTCTAAAAATGTGTCAGGCACTCAGAAGTGCCTCTTACATAATTTATCTTGTCATCTAATGGAAACCTAGTGAGATAGACATTATTATCCCATTTTACTGATTAAGAACTCAAGACTCAAAGACATTAAAACACTTACTTCCTCATATTCCAGCTACCATATATTAAGGATGACGGGATTGTACCAGTGCCCTTTCCATTCTACTGAGTTATTACAACATCTACAGTAAGGCCGAGAATAAGAAAGGTGATGATGTGGGGCACCTGGGTGTCTCAGTTGGTTAAGGGTCCAACTTTGGCTCAGGTCATGATCTCGCAGTTCATGAGTTCAAGCCCCACATCACGCTCTGTGCTGACAGCTCAGAGCCTGGAGCCTGCTCGGATTCTGTCTCCCTCTCTTTCTTCCCCTTTCCCACTCATTCTCTGTCTATCTCCAAAACAAATAGACATTAAAAAAAAGAAAGAAAGAAAGAAAGAAAGGCGATGATGCTCTTAGGGACAGTTATGAGCACATCAACTGCTGCAAATTATCCAGGGGCAAACCCCAGCTATGACACTCATAGTGGGCCACCTTAAATAAGTGACTTAATCTTCATATCCTCAGTTTCCTTTTCTCAAAAATGGGGGAAATAATAGCACATACTCTAGTGCTGTAGAGATTGAATTAGTAAATATGACTAAACCACTGAGAATAGAGCCTGCACTTATTACTGTAAGTGTTCTTATTAATTTTTCTGTGTTTTCAAGTTTATTAAGATGTCACTGCATCTATATCAACTTTCCCTTACCAGCCCAGTGCTTTGCCCAGCAGAAGGCTTTTTCCTGCTTTGCACTCCCACACTATGTGGTTTGCCCTGTTCCTTGATAGCTTCTCCCGGGGTCCTAATGTTAGGCAGTTATTTGAATGGTGTACCTTTTTCTCTAGTGCTTCTTTGAGGACAGAAAAATTCTTTCAATTAAGGTGTTGAAAGCATGCTGGAATGGACTTGAATGAGCGTTCATTACAACATTTATGCTCCCTCAGATGGCAATTAGATTGCACAGTGTCCAAATCTCTTATTTTTGGAGGAAATAGTCTTGAGCCTTCCCTTCTGAAGACAATAACGGTAGTTTCATGTGTAAGGCGTTGTCCAAAATTGGACTATCTACTGTTACATATATCTACAGGAAAATAATCTCTAGAAACTTGGAACTCACTAGATGGAGTAGTATTTGATTTTCTAACTCTAGCTCAACTGCTTTATTACTTATTTCTGACCTTTCATTAATGCCCAAGTTAAAACTTAATAATTATGAAGGTTCTGTTGGTATGAAGGTTCTGTTTATAAAGGTCATATTGTACCTCTCTTAAGACTCTGTAGCCTGTAGTGAACTTTGTCTTTTGTCATTTTCCCATTTCATGACTACATATGCCATTAGGGTGATAATGGTCTATGTTGAGGGTAACATAGACCTAGTATGTTCCGTTTTCAAGTATTTTTTTTTCATTTTAACAAATTATAGTGATATATATATATATATAATATATATATATCATATATATATTCATTTTTTAAAGTTTATTTACTTATTTTGAGAGAGGCAGAGGCAGGCCACGAGCATGGGAGGGGGAGAGAGAGAGAGAGAAAGAGAGAGAATCCCAAGTAGGCTCCATGCTGTCAGTACAGAGATTAACATGGGGCTTGAACTCACGAAACCATGAGATCATGACCTGAGCTGAAACCCAGAGTCCGATGCTTAACCAACTGAGCCACCCAGGCACCCGCCATCTTCATCTTTTCAACATTATTTCTAGTCCTAACCAAAATGATATAACACAGAGCAAAATTTAAAGAAATGAAACCTATTAATACAATGTGACCCTTTATTATTAGACATTGCTATTTGCTCTTAGCCAAAACATGTTCTGGTGGGTTTTTTTCCTTACAGCATATATATTCTATACAGAAGCATATAAAATATATTTACATATTTAGAAGAAAGTCAGTATTTGTTTTGTTTGTTTGTTTTCCAGAGCTTCTGAATTGCTTTGATGCCTCTGCAAATTTAAACCTTTCAAACAGTGGCACGTGAAAGCTTGTTGCTTCTGTCATTCCATAACTCTCTGAATTAAACAGCCTAAAATTAGTTACTTGCCCTGATTTCTCCAGCTAGGGCCTTTTCTGATCTTGTGTCCAGGCCTTTTTTTTTTTTTTTTTTTAACGTTTATTTATTTTTGAGACAGAAAGAGGCAGAGCATGAACGGGGGAGGGTCAGAGAGAGAGGGAGACACAGAATCGGAAGCAGGCTCCAGGCTCTGGGCCATCATCAGCCCAGAGCCCGACGCGGGGCTCGAACCCACAGACTATGAGATCGTGACCTGAGCCGAAGTCGGACCCCTAACCGACTGAGCCACCCAGGCGCCCCTGTCCAGGCCTCTTTTAATTCCATTAAAGCTTCGCTGTGATTCCCTTGCCACGTAGAGCAGAAAATCCTCTCCATACTAACTCTCATTGCTCACATGGACAACAGATCCAAAGAATATAGTACAACGCACTGCTTTATCCCCCAAGCAGATGCTCTGTGTCATTCACTCTAATTCCCTACAACCTCCTCTTCCTCTCTAATAAATGGTTCTTTTTTTTTTTTAATTTTTTTTTAACGTTTATTTATTTTTGAGACAGAGAGAGACACAGCATGAACGGGGGAGGGGCAGAGAGAGAGGGAGACACAGAATCGGAAGCAAGCTCCAGGCTCTGAGCCATCAGCCCAGAGCCTGACGCGGGGCTCGAACTCGCGGACCGCGAGATCGTGACCTGAGCTGAAGTCGGACGCTTAACCGACTGAGCCACCTAGGCGCCCCTCTAATAAATGGTTCTTTAGTGGTGCTATTTTGCTGTAGTAAAAACTAAAGTTGTGAAGAATCAGGGCTCTGGGAGATCTGCTTTCAATAGCAAACACTTAAAAGAGATTGTTTTCAATGTTTCCTTTTGAAAACATTTATACTTTTGAATACAACTAATGAAAAAAAAATCAGTAAAGGCCATATATTGGAAGCCCTGAGGAAAAAAAAGGAGTTTATTGTTATGCATTATTGTGAATTGTGTGATCAGTCAATATTATAAGAAGTTGCAAATTATGAGGCATCACTGTAAATGCTTGGTGTCACATTTTCCATAGATTCTGGCTAGCAGTGGAAGACCTGAAGAAAAGGCCTATTAGAGAAGTCCCTTCCCGAGTTCAGGAAATATGGCAAGAATTTCTGGCTCCTGGAGCTCCCAGTGCCATTAACTTGGATTCTAAGAGCTATGATAAAACCACACAGAATGTGAAGGAACCTGGACGATACACATTCGAAGATGCTCAGGTTGGTATATGGGTGGGCCTCACAGTATGTCACAAATGTGTTCCTGGAAAATTGATGTTTGAGGTATTTCTGCTTTATTTTCATTGTAATTGGCAGCTAGACTTAATATTTTCAATTTAGGTAACTGTATGTAAAATAATTCCAATTGATTTGGAAGAAAAGCGAGACACATTAAAATGAACAGTTTCTGAAGCTTGGGAATGTTTTATAAATTTGAATGTTTTTATGTGAACATTTCTTAAAGGGGAATATTTGAAATATTTGAACACTTTTACTTCATTTTTCTACTTCATCTCCCAATATGCGAGAAAAACACTTATCTAATGATGACCTCAGCTCAGTAACAATAGTTGAAATCTTTAAGGTATCTTCCAATGTGGAGATTCTAAGATGCTGACATTCCTAAATTATTCATCATTATGAATAGTCAGAGCTAAGCTAGAGTAGGTTACAGTTATGTCACACTCAAGCCAGTTTTGTCTCTTATGATACAACGAAATAATAGAATTAGGCATATGAAATTTCCCAAGTTAAGTTTTTAATCTGTGAAAAGGAAAAAAGGAAATTAATATTAAGATATTAATATCCTAGGACAAATATTTAGATTTTTTTTCCTCAAACTGGGCACAGTTGCCTCCTTAGACACAGTCTGAATTTTTCCTTCTCTAAAAAAATATTGTGCTCAAGAAGAAAAGTAAACTTTTGGGTATTATTTTCCTAATGATATGCTGTAATTGGCTTTTTAAAAAAATTTTTTAATGTTTATTTATTTTTGAGAGAGAGAGAGAGAGAGAGAGACAGAGCATGAGCGGGGGAGGGGCAGTGTGAGGGAGACACAGAATCGGAAGCAGGCTACAGGCTCCGAGCTGTCAGCACAAAGCCTGACCCGGGGCTTGAAGTCATGAACTGTAAGATCATGACCTGAGTCGAAGTCAGACACTCAGCCAACTGAGCTACCCAGGCGCCCCTGTAAATTAAATTGGCTTTTATATTGGAACATGCGTACATCTTAATTTCTTAAACCTCTTCAAAAGAAGAATATTAGTTCTAGAAAGTATCTTGTTTTTCAAATAACAGTATTACTGAAATAAAATCTAGAAGATTTTAAAATCTAAAAGACCTTATTTTCACTCCCGGTGGAAAGTACATTTCTCCTGGCTTTGGTCTAAAGAAACGAGCCATCGTATAGAAAACTAACACAGGTTGAGATAGCTAAACAGACACCCATCTTTGCTTTCCCATGGCCTTCTATGTAGAAATAATTATAGACACATGCAAGAGAGCAGGATGAAAATTATAGTCCTGTTGCTTACTTCTCTGTGGATTTATCTTTCTTTCAGCTCAAGATAAAATTTCCAGCATTTTTCTAGAGCCAACAATATGTAAAATGTTTGAAATGATCTCCCTGGAGTCTTAAAAAGAACATTTCTTTGTTATCTGTGGCATTAAAAATATTCTTGCTTAGTAGGTCTTCAGTAAAATGAAAAGGCATAATTTTCTATAGAAAACATTACCACCTGACCCTGGGCTTCTTTTTCGGTTAAGCTCAGATATTTAACTCCAGTTGTTGATAGGTTTTTTAACCCCATCCTCAAAAATATAGTAATGAAAATTCCTGCCATTTTTTGAGAAAAGAAACAGTGTAATGATTAAGAAAGCAGACTCTAGAGCCAAATTGCCTGGGTTCTAGTCAAAGCTCTGGGACCTTCTTCATATTTAAAATGGGTATAATAATGGTTCCCATCCTCACTGAAGTTTTGTGAGGATTAAATTAACTAATACAGGCAATCACTAGAAGTGTGCCTGGTATATATGCAAGTATATCTGAGCACTTACTATGCATACCCCCCTACTTTGCTACATATATATCATTCCTTTAAGCCTCACAACAACCCTATTGTACAGAGTGGAAAACTAAGGCTCAGAGAGATGGGATAATTGACCTAAATTTACATGTTTGTAAGTGGCAGGTCTCGAGCAAGATAAGATCTGAAACCTTCAATGCTTGACTCCAAAACAAGACCTCTCTCCACTTTTCCAACAACAAATTCTGATAGGGTCTTGAATGTACCATACTTTTGGAGGTGAGCCTTGGGCTAGATATTGAATGAGAATAACTCCAAATCATAGCAGAGAGGATTTTCTGCTCTACGTGGCAATGGTGTGTTTGAGACTGGGGAAACTGAGTCATTTCCTAAAATATATTTTTTTCTGCAAACAAAAAGAGATTGGGACATCCAGGATACTCTCTATATCTAACTGATTTTTCACTAGACTAGAAAGAGGAAGGAGCATTTATGCTCCATTGAACTTCAATAGGCCAGAGCAGAATCTCCCTAGATGGGGCTAACAACTGAATGGGATGCATATATTTTTTTCCTTGACTTCTTTGTCTATCAATATTCATCATCATAATAGGACATTGTGGACTGATTATAGGTTTAAATTATTAAATATTTACCTAATCTGTCACTGAAGGAAGTTTTTTTTAATGCATACAAATTAGGAGATTTAGCAATTAAATATCACAAAATATTTCTTGGATTTGTGCTCTGGCCCAAAGTGGATGTGGATGACAATTTTTTAATATAATTAGTACCGGAGAGATGGTTCATCTGGACAGTCTGCATCCTCCAAGTAGATAGCTAGTGTGATTACTGAGTCTTGACTTCATATCATTCACTTTTGGCCTGGAGTAATTTTAAGAGATAGATTTATTTATATTCTCAAATGACCTATATAAATCAACAACTTGATTTGAAATAACTTCATGACCTTCCATTAACTGAATTCCATGTTTTTCAAGGACTGGGTATGATTTGCCTCCTCTGTAGCTCTCAACCCAGTTTAAATATTGATCATGAATAAAATTATAAATCTGAAGATTCATATGTTCTGTAAACACAAAGTATTCTCATCAACATTATCATTATTAATGTTAGCTGTTTCCAGATTTGTTTTGAACCATACCCTGTATTCTTGACACAGGATTTGATTTTTCCCTGAGAAATAATAAAGAAGCGCTTCAACCATTATTTCTTTTTAGGAGCACATTTACAAATTGATGAAAAGTGATTCATACCCACGTTTTATAAGATCCAGTGCCTATCAAGAGCTTCTACAGGCAAAGAAAAAGGTATTGGTTCTTTGTGACCTTTTTCGATCTGGTTCTCAGTTATAATTGTATGGAGTAGTTCCTTCTACTGAGGCCAGGGTATTGGACAAATGGTAAGTGGACACACTCCAAGACCTTCCCCAAACCTTTGTGTTTTATAAGGGCCATCTGAGATGTTTTTGTTTTTGTTTGTTGATTGCTTATTTCCTTTTTTTTTTTTTTTTTGTTAATTTCTGCAGATGTTCATGCTTTACAACGTTTTTTAGAACCTGTTTTCATGTTTCATGTTAGTCTCTTGTATGGCCAGTTTATGGATATAAAAATATAAAAAATTAAAATTAATGAAAAGGAAAGAATAACATCATTAGGTCAAAAACTTGAAGAGGGTTTTCTTTGTCCAGGAAGCTTGAGTGTAAGGTTTTGGCCACATACCCCATAACCAAATATAGACTTATTATTTTCAATGATAGTTGCCAAAATGTAGTTATGTTCGATTCAAAATATTTTAATTTGGCATTCATCCTGGATTACTTAGTATCCTGATGGTGAACTTTACACACCTAACAAGGTAGCCAAACACATTTTGGAAGAGCTGCAATAGACTTCATTATTCAATTAATGTTTATAATCAATGTAATCATTAAGGCAGGGTATGGAAAATCTGAATATAAAAATTGAACATCATTCATTATTTTTTAAGGTTAAAATAGTCCATAGCTTCCTGAAACTTTTGAGATGAAATTATAATTTTGTGTAATTCATGACTGTCATTTAGGCTAATAGGATTTTTTAAAGTCCATTGCCTTTGCCAATAAATACTCTGTACTTGCCCTGTTCAATACAGCAGCCACTAGCCACATGGGGTTGTTTAAATTTAAATTTAAATTAATTAAGAGTACATAAATTCTAGCCAGATTTCATGTACTCAGTGGCCTCAGCTTCTGAAATATTGGACAACATAGAATGACATTTCCATCCTTTCAGCAAATTCTATTGGACAGCAATGCTTGACAGAATTGACATAATCAACAGAAATCTAGTCCTAACAGAAAAGTATGAAGAAGTTCTGAAGATACTCCACTGATTTTCGAATATGTAGGCTTTGCAAATGTCCACGTAAAACCTTCATGAATCTACTTCATTTTAGTGTCATTTGATTTTTGCCTTGAAATCATACCATCTTGTTTGCACAGGAAGAGTTTTGGTGTTAAAAATAGAAGTTCTAATGAAAACAGAGCCTATGTCCTGTGTCTAGCGTCCTTCCTTGGCAGCTTTCCTACCTTCCCGGTCCCTGTGACTTAGAACATGGATTTGGCATCGCCTCCTTTCACCATCCTGTCTCTTTATGCTGTTTTCATTGCTTTCTTTTTATTTATGTTCCCTATTTCCCTTTGCCACACCCACCCCATTCATGTAAGTCGGAACACTCAATGGATCGCAGAACATCTTTTGAGAAATTTGCACAGAATGTGGTAAGTTTTCTTTTTTTTTTTTTTTTTTTTTTGAGGCATTACAGATCATTAACTCTAATTGGGAAATTTTCCCAATGTCTAGCCCCATCACTCACCTTTCATCCGTTGATGTAACAAAAGTATTGTCTTTATTCGAACTCAGAACTTCTGCTTCCTGCTTATCTTTCTGACCCAGCTCTTTCTAGAGTAAAGATGTCATCCGTAAGAAACCACTTGTGTCAAACTAAGGTTTGGAAAGAAGTATATATTATGGCATATAAAATGAAGAAAGTATCTCTTATGTATTTTTATTTTCATTCCGTGTATCCCTTTCTTTCTTAAAGATAGTGCATGCATTTCTACATGCTCTTTCTCTTAGCCCTTCCTAAGGCTTTTTTAAAAGCTAAAGAACAATGAGGCTTCTGTGCTTTCTACTTCTGCAGAGAGAAAATGGCCTAATGAGCAGTTTAAAGCCAAAGACTTGGTATGAATGGTGGTCGGTGACAAGATATGCCCACCAAAGACCCACCAGCATGCCTCTCTTATGCTTTATGTTTTGGGAAGGTGTTGAAAACTGTTGCATAAATCATCCAAGAAACCAGTAGTTTTCCTACCACTGTTTTCTTAGTATCTTGCCATGTGTTTTGGTGATATTTTGGTGATATATTTGTATGTGGGATTCCTTTTTTTTTTTTTTTTTTTTCTGTATCGTGCCAGTGCCTTTGCAACTTTCTGACGTTGTGTAAGCTCAAACTAAAGCCTTCAACACATTTATTTTTATAGGGCAGAAACATCCCTATTTTCCCATGCCATAAAAACTGTACACCAACACTGAGGGCCAGCACTAACCTGTTATGAAAAAGAGGTAGAAAAATCTTGGTTTATCCTCAAGTTTGTCTGCATTGTCTGTTGAGTTGTGTGGTTAGCTCCATGCTGCTGTGTGTGTGTGTGTGTTGTGGCTTTTGCTGTGATGGCCAGTTAAGTGGAGTTATGTGTGTTGAAATGTAAGCAAATTGGATTCAACAAAGATGCTGTTTTTGTTTTTAGTTTCCTTCAAATATCTTTGTGGTGGGGAATGTTAATCAGTTCTATTTATGAATTGCCAGTTGTGACTAGGAACAGAGTATTTGAAAGACTTGAAAAAGCTGTATATACTTTGAACAGTCAATGTGATTGCAAAAATTAAAGGGCTGGAAAATGAAGAACTCTAGGAATTAATCACTCAATAAACTTCAAAAAATGTTGGCTGGTTCTGTTGGAATCTCTGACCTTTAAAATAAAATTTTCCTAACCATGCCTCATAAGTCATCATGGGAAGATAAAGACAGTATTTTTAAAAAAGCCTCAAGATTTTGCTGGAGAAAGTAGCTGTAGGCTGTTGCACGGTGCTCTGTGCAATATTTAATAATCCTTCCAAATTCATCCTTTCCTAACATGATGCTGAAATAATATTGTTCTAAAGATTGGAATGGAATTTTCTTTGATGTGATTAAAAGCAATAACACAACATATGGAAGATGGAAAAGGGAAGCAAAATAGTTGTCTTTCCTCCAACACCATCCCCAATTCTGACCTACTTCTCCAACTTTTAAAATAGTCCCACGTTGTCACACACTGCAAACTTAAGAAAAGATCAATAGGAAGTAAGGGGAAGGCAAGCCTAATCATCTACGCCTTCAGTCAAAATTCATACAAGAAATGACAGTTATATTCCAGACATTGTGCTGTGTCTCAGGAGGGTGTATAAGGTAGATACCTTAATTGCTAAGGAATCGAATGGTATAAACAAGATGTTGTGATGCACAGGAGAAAGATAAACTTTTCTGCTTGGTGTTGGGGTGGGGAGGGAGCACCCACAGGTAATGCGAGAATTCCCAGAAGAAATCACATTTAAGTGGATTTCACTAGGACAAGAAGGACATCCATCCTTTGAAGGAGAAGGGGAGAAAAGGCTGGAATTACTGAAGAAAACGAGGTTGAGTCACATTCACACATATAGACACACAACACACTAATAAATTACAGACAATCTTCAGACACAATTGTTTGGGGTTATTTTTTCCATCCAGGAAAACAAAAAGTAATATTTTTCAGTGGATATTTTGTTTCAGTAGTACTCTAAAGAAATGGAATAAGGAAATTAGAAAGGCTCTCTGATTTCCTCAGTAGATTACAAACAATTGTATCTATTTTATTACTCATGAGAAGAAAGTTTCTATCCTGGCAATTATTTATATACAAAAATTAAAATTAATATATACTATACAATATTAAATCTTAGGATGATTAGTTTCTATTTGAAGTTCCCTTTAACTCTTTCTATCCTCATTTCTTTTTTTTCCCCTTGGTTCTGTGTTCCTCCATGTTTGTGATTACTTTTAGGGTCAGCAGGTGTGTTAGGAATCCAATGTACCTACATAATAAATTTAATAGGATATCTTTACAGGATCGATACAATAATTCTAACACAGGATGAAAAATGATTTTATTATTAATCAGGTAGACATAATGAAGGCAATACGGAGTTTAAATAAATATTTTAAAGGAGTCCTATGTGCAGATTAGTCTGGCAAATACAGGGAGGCTACAGGATAGACAGTATTCAAGGAAGAAACAGAAGAGGGAAAATATAGGTAAACAAGTACGTAGACTATGAAAGGGCCTGGGCAAAGTGAGATAGTAATGACTCCTCTTCTTGCCTTGTACCAGTCTCTGCACTAGGCACTTTATATTATATAATTTAATATAATCTAACCCTGCAAGTTAGGTATTATTATACTCATTATGTTACCCGTTTGATAAGTGAGAAAACTGAAGGGTCGGAGGAGGTACAAAATTTGCCCAGAATCACAGTTATTAGGACCTGGCACTGACCCCACATTTATTTTGTTCCCAAATCCTTTCTTTCTCCATTGATCGCCTTGCTCCTTCATATTCTTCCAACTGATAGAAGATCAGCCACCTGCCACTCCTCTAGAGTCTGAGTCCATTTCCAATTAGTGTCTGTTTGTAGAAGTTTATTTGCATGTTCTAACACAGTTACTCATAACCTGGCTTATAAAAATGGCATCACTGTTTTGTTTCACACAAGAATCAAAAATGTTTTGCTCGACAGTTCTTCCCAATACCGTTAAAACTTCTGTTGGTTGCTGAGACTAATAAACTCTTGCCAGCACCTTACAGAATAAACAGTTAACAGTTGCACAGCATTTTACAATGTTCCAAAGACACTCATTCTTTCTTGCTTGTTTTGCTGTCACTGTTGTTGACATATATGACAATCTGAGGAGGTGGTCGGGCAGGTGTCACCACCCTTTCATAGATGGGCAAATTAAGGAATAGCGAGGATAGATCACTTCACCAGTATCAATCAGTTGTTGAGAATTCAAGCCAAGACTGGAAGCAAAGTTTCCTGACTTTGAATTCACTCCTCTATAGATTACTTGTTTTCTTTTCATTTTGCCCAACACGGGAGGGTTAAGCATTAAATTTGTGTAATACCTTCACCTTGCCCTTGCTGTCTCAAGGCATCTCATTTCCTGTGATTTCCTTTTTTATTACTTTGTTTTCCTTGCCATCAGATAAGACCTTAAGGGTAAGGTCTTTCAAGGTTTGCTATGTTCTGTCATGCCTTTAAATGTTATTCTTACTACGTAGGCGTCATTCCCTTTGACAAAGTTCATGTGTTTCCCTCCTCCATCACCATCGCCAAATCTGACACCATTTCTCCAACCACTGAAGTCTCATGGCATCTGTCTGCCACACAAATCACAAGGAGAATGGATAGGAAATAAGGGGGGAGGGGTGGGAAACTGGGTAAGAGGATTGATCGTCCACACCTCCAACCAAAACTCACATATCAAGTTCTGACTGTACTGCTTACCTCCTCTCCTTAGTTTGTGTGAAGGGGAAATTAAATCAGCCTGGCTCTGGGCTATAAAAGGAGAAATGAGAAATAGAGAATGTTCATGTTGAGCTCCCAGGAACTTGCCTCATCTAACCTCTTTTGGGGAGAAAGTTTACTCTATCTCAATGAAGCCCAGTATCTGCAGAGCCTTTAAAAGAATTGGCAGAAAGGGAGCCTGAGTGGCTTAGTTGGTTAAGTGTCCAACTTCAGCTCAGGTCATGATCTCGTGGTTTGTGAGTTCGAGCCCCGCATCAGGCTCTGTGCTGACAGCTCAGAGCCTGGAGCCTGCTTCAGATTCTGTGTTTCCCTCCCTCTCTCTCTGCTCCTCTCTCTCTCTCTCTCTCTCTCTCTCAAAGCTAATAAATAAAAATTAAGAAAAATTAAAAAAAAGAATTGACAGGATATCATGACCTTCTTGGCTGTCCCAACCCTGTGGCCCCAGTACTTATGCTAGTGCATTAGGCTTGGAAGGCATGCTCTGGAGATGGTCATAAATTACCAGAAGTTGTGAAAACTCTGTGAGAGAATTTTAACAAAAGCATTGAGTTGACTCTGAAATCAGTTAATCTTTTGGGATCAAATCTTTATGTAACACTATAATTGATTGGTATGCATACTAATAAGAACAAATGTAAATAAAATCCTGTAATTTCCTTGGAGTGTTAATAAGCGAGAAAGATAGAATACTTAGTTCTTTTAGAATGTCCTTTTTGTTTACATCTAATTAAATTTTTTACCTGAGCTCATTATGGAGATGCTGGGTAACACGCCTCATGTAAATTTAATATAAGCAACAAAATGAGGTTAAAAGAGCCCAGACCTGAAAGCTTGACGTGTTAATATTTACATTTGAAACCTAATCCATGTTTTCGTGCCATGTGAATTTTTAGAAACTGCTGAACCCCTGCTTCTTTATCTATAATCTCTCTAGCCAGGAATAGCTTTAGTTAGCACTTTGCACAAACATATATAAATGAATATAAGTATTCTTTATATAAATACATAAATAAATGGGGTTCTACATTAAATATGCTTTTGAAACATGCTTTGTTTGCTTAAAATGCATCACAAATATCTTCCAGGTCTTTTCATATTCTTCTACATAATTTTACTTATTGTCTACACAAATTTCCTCTGAATAGATATACTTGAAATTTATTTTCCAATCTTCTATTGATGGATATCTACATTGCTCCTTCTTTCTTTCTTCATATTGTAGATCAAAGTATGATAAATATCTGTCAAGTAAAATATTGGTTTTTTTTTTCTTATGGTCATAAAAATTTTAATTGCTTGGTTAACGGGATGCAAAGTTATAAAAGATGTTTACTTATTTATTTTTCCTCCTCTCTTATCTTTATATTTTCCCTAACACGAGAGCACACACTAGATGAGAAAATAACTGGTTGAAGAAGGCAGGAATCATACTTTGTATTCTTAATTTCAAAACTACTGTGTTACACATTAATAAAAAGTTGGTTACCATTTGGTCCTCAGTCTATGAAGAATTGTAGTCACATTCTGGAAGTCTTTCACTGTTGTTTTTTTTTTTTTTAAGACACTGTCAAAGGCTCTATGGATTGTTTCTAGTCATGGTTAAATGATTTTTAATTTGGTTTTTCATCAAATGTGAAATCCAGCATAAAATCTCCACAGACCCTAATAACCACCAAGATTATACATTGAGACCATTCAGTCAATTCAGTATAATCCTATGAATAATACAGATTCCGGGCTTGGGAAACACAGCCCCAGACTAGCTGTGGGGCAATGCCCGGAGTAGGGCAATGCAGTGTGAAATCTATTCATGTGGACCTCCCAACTGCCCACTGGACTGGACATTGGTTCCATTTAGGATTAAGCCCTGGCACTTCTGGTCGAGTGCTCTAGACTTTCCTTTGGGCTTACAGGTACCTTAAGTGCAGATAAGCTTTGTTAGAAAGGATCCTGTATAAACT